ATAGTATTTAGTTTGAAAAAGTTAATATATAATGTAAATATATGTGAATAGTTCTTTTACATAGATGAATATCTATTTGGTGTCTGTGTATGTATGTTTACATACTTGCATGTAAATTCACATACATGGTGATGGCTTTTTCTGTCCATGTATGTAAAGCGGTAATATGAATTTGTGATAAAAGCAACCCATTGCTTGAAAAATAAATAATTATAATGCATTGTGTATCTAATTGTAACTTCATTTGTAATGCATGCTTAGTTTATACTGTTGGAGAGTCTAATACAAAGAGTTCTAGGAACTTAATTTGGAAGTATATTAATCACAATAATGTAATGTCACAAAACATTTTCAACCCTGTCGTCTGAAAATGCTGGTTTTATCTGGGGTGTTAAACTTAACCAAGTCATTATTACTGAAACTTAACCAAGTCATTATTATTGAAATTGGTCTTTGTGAACACACCCCTTAAATTATGGGCTAGAATCGTAAGCGAGAGCCTTCTTTAAACACAGTGTTCCTTAACTGCAAAGATAAAAGCAAGAGTAAACGCTCTACAAAGATTTTGACTCTTTTCTGCCCAAGTTACGCATTCGTTATTACAGTTTGTCTCTATCAAGTACCTTTTCTGCATTGTCAACATTACTTGGTGGCCTGACCTTGCAGTCTGAAATATAAACTGCCAGGATTACTTTGAAATTTGATCACCTCGTATCCTGGGAACTGTTGTTAAGTTGGAAGTTCCCCCTACACCCAGTGAGTCTTACATTCCAAATCCCTGAACCCTAGAACCATGATTTAATAAGATCTTTGTTTCAAGAGGACTCTGTAGTTTCACTCAGGATATAACAACCTACAACAATAATCATTTATTATGATTATTGTACATTATGTCCAGAAATTAGCAGATAAGTCAAAAGTATCAGAAAAGTGATGGGAGCAACTGATTTTTTGGCTGTTCAGTTGTGGTTTAATTTTCTTTCTTTAACTTTTTGCTCTTAATTTTTATGGATACATAATAGTTGTACATATTTATGTGGTACATGTGATATTTTGATACCAGCATGTAAAGTATAATGATCAAATCAGGGTAATTGAGGTATTCACCACCTAAAGCGTTTATTTATTTCCACTCTTCCGGTGATTTTGCAATATAAAATAAATCATTGTTAACTATAATCACCCTATTGTGCTTCCAAACACTAGATCTCATTCCTTCTAACGGTATTTTTGTACCCATTAACCCACCTTTCCCTAATCTTCTCTACACACTACCCTTCCCAGCATCTGTTAACCATTATTTTTCTCTTTACTGCAATGAGATATTTTTTTTTTTAGTTCCCACAGATGAGTGAGGACATGTGGCATTTTTATGTTATCATCTAATTCTCTGAGATATTGGAATTTTTATTTGTCTGGGACAGAGGGTCATGTTTGTTAAATAGAAGACAGTTACATCTATGAGGTACTAAGGTCTTAAATGCTTTTTGATATGTTGGAAAACACTAACATGGGTTATATGATATTTTAGGATTCTCCTAACTCTATGATTTATTCCTGCTTTGAGGACAGGAATTGAGAATTGAACGAGTTCCAAGATTAGTCTAAAATACACAGTTGGCATGAGCCAGGGCATAGGCTGAATTAGAGAGCCACATGCTTTAGTGGCGAACTATCACCAGTCTCCTATATTTAAGGGATTTGTACTTTAAAAAGTTGAAAGCTCATGCCCTAAAAGTGTCTCTCATTCGTACTTCTTTATTCTGCAACAATATTCCCCAACAACTAAAATGCAAGAATATCCTGAAATGACTCTGAATGGCAGTCTGAATCTAGCATTCTCCTGTCGTATCATGGTCCTCACAGGCTATCTTAGATTTTTTTTTTATTATCGTAATTCATTGATAATTATTAGTTTTATCTTATACTAAAACTGTCCTAATTGTTCTATCACTGGTTTTCACAGGAACAAACAAGCACATGTTCAACTTGCACAGAAAAACCAGTTAGATAGCAAGCACTAGATCAGGTCCTGATGATGACTGTAGCAAAATAATCAACATTTTAAAACACCATTTCCCATGTATTGTCTCAGATAGTCTTAAAAACAGCCCCATAGATTAAGACCCTCATCTCTAAGGCCACAGCACCCACAGAATAGAACTCCGGACATAGACTGAGGCCATGATGGAATCACATTGAGCCCTTGAAGTGGGAACGGAAATGTACCTTCCAAGGCACCAGGCCCTGAGCAGGACATGTTGCTTGTAACCCCTTCATTTAACCCAGGACAAGTAGATGATGGGATGTTATCATCCTCGTGCCCACGTGAGAATTCTGGGGTCCTGTCTGTGCAATCCACACTGGATCTGCCTCCTACTTGGGAATCTCAAACCCTCTACTAGACCACGGTAGTCATCTCCCTGCTGACCTGACCACACCAGCAGCTTCTGCATTCATGTTTATCTATTCATCCATTTAAGTCTGCAGGCTCAATGTCCTGAGCAGTAGGTCTCTACGCCACATCCATCCAGAAGGTCTCTGGGAGCCACCCAGTGTCTGCTCCATGCCTTGCCCTAGACAGTATGGTTCTGATCCACCATACTGCCACTCAGACATTGAGGCCCTGGTCCGGGGCTCTGGTTTCATGGAAGTTTATTTATATCCTGGTATTCTATCAAGTTGTCACCCCCCTGCAAGTCAGTGGAGCCCTGCAGTTGTCTCTTTAGGGAGTTCCAGACACTCAAGCCCCTGCCTTCGTGAATTACTTGGGTTCCTCATATCTCATATCTCTAAATGCTGTTCTGGCCAAGTATAGAGGCCCTGACACACCAGGCGAATTAATGCAGAGAAAGCCTGCCTCAAGGAGAGGAAACCTGAGGTTTCCAGCAATGGTCTTTACAGAAGCAGCTGTCAGAGTGGCCCTGCTTGTGACCTGCTCACAGAGGCATGAGCCTGGCAAAGTACTTACCACCAGCATGCCACATCTACCCTAAGAGCATAGATCCTGATGGATTTGCATAAGAAGGTGAAATTGCACCATGATTGTAACCATACAAGACATTTATGAGTCGCTCAAAATAAAAGAAATTAGTATCTGAATTAAAACGATGCACGTTTACTTGTTAACATTCCAGGTTTCCAAAGACTGGTTTAATAGTGAAGAAAATATAAGCAGGAAAAACATGAGGTTGTGTCTTTAATAAAGACATGAACTTCTAAATATATAGTTAAATCTGTGGGGAAGATTTAAGAACTAGTTTTATGAAGGTATAATTCAAAATAAAACTCTTCATGAGATGACTCACACAATGCAGAAAACCTTTGTACGTCACTGAAGCATAGAGTGAGTTTACCACACAGCAAAATGTCATCTTTCAAGCAGAAATATGTTGACGTGCTTCATTGCACTGCTTTTTCTTTTTTTTTTTTTTTTTGAGTTGGAGTCTTACTCTGTTGCCCAGACTGG